AAAGAATATGCTGTCTGCTCCGGTCCTCATTTCTCTTGATGGTGTGCTGTTGTTAAGTAACTTAGAGGAAAAAACTGCCATAGAGGAGAAGGAAATAATGAATACTAGTCCTGGTAGCTGTATGTTACCTTTGGTGTCCGAGGCAGTAAGCCTATGTGCAACAGTTGTTGGGGAACATGGGCAGAGGATGCTGTTGTACTCATGCCCAGCTTGTGGGATCAGGGGGGCAGCTGATTGGCCACTGTGAGACAGAATGCTGGACTAGACAGATTATTGGTCTGACCCAGCATGGCTCTTACGTACTTATGGAACAGATCACTGATTTTATACATCTGGAAGTAAGAGAAGAACACTGCCCTCAGAGCTTAATACTTTGATTTTATAATTTAATCTAATCTAATTATTTTTCCAAAGGAACAAGGCATGGGTTTAGAGATATCTTGGTCTGACCTGGCAAGGCTATTTTAGGTGCATTTATGTATTTATTATATTTATTATTAATTTATATGAAATTCATAATTTATTTACTGAATTTACACTGTACTTTTCCAGGAAAATTGATGCTGAAAGTGGTTAGCAGTAAAATACAAATTAAAGAAAAAAGTTATAATTGAGCCATGAATGGCTACAAAATAAAAATGTACCCCAATATAAAGACCACAAATAAAAACACCAATAAAAGTGGTGGTATGTCGGGACATCACCCATCATATTGAAGCACACTAGATGTTCTCGTCTTGGTGTGGGGTAGGGAAAGGGAATGGCAAAGTGCTTAAAGATAGCATGAAAGGTGGGTAAATGAAGGGAAGTAAATGTTTTGGCAAACAGAGATAGGAAACTCATCCTATGCATTAAATGCAAGATACATTGCACACAGATTTAGAGGGTCTTAATTCAGCTGTTGAGAAGTCTTATTAAATGTCCCAGGGAGGGCAAGTTCATGAAAAAGTGGCTCTTTATTTTAGACTGGCTAGATTTTTGGTTTTAGATTGGCTAACCAATCTAATGTTGAAAGCTGGTTCAGACAGATGGGCCCTGGAAGAGTTTGATTCACAGAAAAATAATGCCAACTCTGCTAGCAGGGACATCTCCCAAGGAGAAAGATTTCAGCAGGAAATAAATATTTAAAAGCACAGTTTGCACAGTTACCCACAAACATTCAGATTCCTGTTGTTTATGTTTATAGATGAAGAGACATATCCCTTGCTCTCTCTGCTCTCTCACATTGCTTTTTAAAGGCTTTCATTAGTAGGACAGAAAGAGCTTAATTATTAAAGCACAGCTAGTTACTTCAGCTGCTACCTAGGAGCAAACATCATAGAGTTGTTGGGAGATCTGTTGAGTGGAGATAACCTTGCCATCACCTGCCCTTGACTTTAAAACAGGAATGAGAACATGTGGGCTTCCAGATAATGATGACCTCAACTCCCTTGAACCTTAGAGAGCACAGACAATGGGAGCTGCAGTACAACAACAGCTGAAGAACCACACATTCCCCATTCCTACTTTTTAAGCTGCACAAGCCCAGTCACTAGAAGCGTTGGACTATAACTCCTATCAACCCCAGGCAGCAAGAGATTGTCCATGCTGGCTGGACATGGAAAGAGTTTTGGTTCAATACATCTGGAGGGTGCCAGTCTGGGGCAGGCTGACTTACACAGTCTAATTTTTGAAGTTATCCTTGTAATGAAGTCTCTTCATGCAAACATTCATGACTGCACTTTGATTTTCATTGCTAGAAAAGGAAAAAGAGCTGCCTTTTTAGGGGGCAATTTAGAAGGCTTTGCCATAGCCATATGTGGCAGTGTGCCAATTTCGTGCTGCATATGCTAGCAACCATATTGTGTTTAAGACAGTGATTTACCAGCAGAAGGATATAGTTTTGAGGAAACAACTGGGAGTCTCCCTAAACATTTAAGGAGTTAAACTGTGCCTTAAAGCGCACAGTCCAATCATCATCTGAAGGCAAGTTTGCTTGCCAAATTTAGAGATATAGCAAAGGACCCAGTACATTCACATCCAAAGCACGAGAATATGTTGCAGTGACTAGTTTAAGATTAGGTTCATATCTAAGTCAGCCAATAAAGTTCATTAGTCCAACCACCATCTCTTATCTATCTCTGGGGTCCTGGGGTTGACATCAGCTATTTTGTGAAGATAAAAGGGATAAATATTTATGCTACTCCTGAACTATCTTGAAAGAAGAGTGGGGTTATAATGCAATGATTCATAAATCTTAGAGACAGGTTTTACAACCTGGACTATCTTTCTGGACACCTTCCAGAGAAACTACCATGAGTGGTAGCTGAAATGCCAGCCCAGTCATAATGGATTTAGGCTATTCAGCACCTTTTCTGAATTCTTTCTTCTACTCTGTACATTCAGTTTGTGTCTGTGTGTAAAATGGGTACAAAAATTTCCTGATAAGACAAAGTGCCCAACTCTAATGACACAAAGTGCCTTACATATATGATATGTGCAATGCACCATAGCTTTAATACAACTGAAGCAACATGTGTGTGAGAGAGAGGAAGGAAGGAAGGACCATGTTGCCTTTTCCTGGCTTTTAAGAAGACGTTAAGTCTATGCTTCTCAACTTTAAAGCAAAACATCAAGTTTAGTTAATGGGTACAACCTAACACAGATACATGAATAGCTTGAGCTGTTATCTGATTCCCAGTTAATTGTTCAAGGAAATGACATGCATCCCCATTCCTTGTGTGAGTTGGAAGACAAATGCAGAACTGGTAGAACTAAGAGAGAGGACCCATGGGCATGGTCCTGGGGTCGACAACCAGTGCCTGAATTATGGGGGGCGGGTGGGGGGAAGTCCCTTTAGTGACTGCTTTCAAAAGGCTGCAGCGGCACCATGATCTGTTTAAATTGGGGAGAGCTGATGTACTCTATTAAGGATCCCCTAACTTTCATCTTATAATTTGAAAACTATTGACAACAGGTCAAGGGGGAAAAGATTATACTGACTTGCTCATCTCCTTTTAATAAGAGATTTATCTACAGAAATCAAGAAATAGTGTTTTTATGACATGGAGCCCCCTTACTGTTGTTTTCATTGCAATGCAGCAGTTTGATTGCCCTTGTTTGGTCTATTGTTGCAGCTACCATTGATACAAGAGTTTCTCAAACATGAACTGCCCAGGCATGACCCTCACCCAAGAAGGAACTGTCTGCTTTTCAAATCAATTGCATCTCAGAGAAGTAACCAGCTTCTGGTTTCTGGGGTGGATGGGGGTGGGGTCAGGGGTTGCTCTTCCAACTTTGGACTGAGTTCCTGACTTCTGAGCAACACGTCTGTTCAGTGAACCCATGACATTATGTCTTCTGCACATGTTTTACACAGTTCCTTTCTGAACGATTAATGCAAAGGATACAGTATGAGGGCATGGCTGAGGATAGCCATTAGGCTTTCATTTGCCAGACACTGTATCAATTGTGTAAGAGAATGCTTGATCTCATCAGATAAGATTTTAGTTCCATTGCTCCAGCCAAAGGACTCAGAATTAATGCTTTTTTTTCTTTCTTGCCTGAAGCTCTGAAAAATTGGATACAAATTGCCATCTATATGTGTTGACTGCATTGTTTCTTCTGACCCTATTCAATGAAAATTGCAGAACTGATTTAGAACCCTACTTAATAGGGTATATTAAGATCCCCATTAATCAGTAAGCATTAAACTTATGACTGTCATGCCATTGCTTCTACATAGCCATATTCATTAGGGTATTCATAAAACTGCTTAATGCAGACTTGTCACTTACTAACATTCTTTTAACTAAGGGCACAATCCTTATGTATATTTAGACAGAAAAAGTCCAGCAATTCCCAGTTAGCTGTAAGACTGTATTGCAGTATTTTAAATCACACAATAAGGATACTGAATAATGGATGTTTCTCCATACTATTCTAAAACAACATGAATGTAATTTGTGTTTATATTTTTGAAAACAGCATGTTACTTACTTGGGAACAGAAGTTATCATCAAAGGATCAAGTTGCAAGAATTATAACTTCATATCAAGCTCAATCATGTGTATGGTTACTCAGAACTAAGTCCCACTGAACTAAGTTGGAGTTCTTCCACGGTTGCATAAATAGCCCGAGTATGTGAAGAAAGAGGCTGCTTAAATGAAAGATATAGTAGCTCTGCAGCTCTCTTACAATGCTGCAGTCTGAACCTTCCAGAAATAAACTTTCAGCACTCCAAATCTATACTCGTTCCATCTCTGCTCTTCGACCTTTAATCCTCCTTCCATTATAAAGAATATTGGCTTCTCTTAGCCAGGCATGGGGTCCAGAAGCAACAGTTACTGTTAGAGAAAAAGTCCTTTGGAAAAGACCAAGGGATTTTTCTTCTCTGTAGATCTATCTAGCATTGAACGTTCAGGATTAGTGGTGTATTTGAAACTTTTTGAATCATTAGTTAGAAGTATTAAAGAAGTAATGAATTGTTACAGGGATAAAATGGGTTGAAATGGGTATTATCAATTTCCACAATTCCACTGTGCCTCTAGAACTCAAAAAATACATTCTGAAATGTATGTTGCTTGCTCATTTTTCCTTATTTTTCAGGTGTCAGGTTAGAACCAAGACTACATATTACTGTTTTGCTAATAGCTTTGTCTTTTTTCTCAATTTGTTTTTTTACTGTAAATTAAGTGCAGGAGGTTCGAACTAGAGTGAACCCCTAGTATGGAGTAGGGAGGATTTAACCCTTTGTCCCTCCAATTGCAGTCTAAATGTCAATTGCCCCCCGAACCTTTTTTTTTTAATGGAGTTACTTTCAGACGTTGGAAGGCCGATATGGATTAGTGTCACAGCATGTCACTTGTAACATGTAGGTTGGCCTTACAGCTCATTTAATGATGCATCTGAGAACATACCAAATAAGATTAAACAGTCCTATTCTCTTCACCTTATTACCCCATAAATACAGTTGACTATCTCTTAGTGTGTTCTACCATTCTTCCAAGAAGAATCCTTACCCTACAGTATTCATCAATGGGTTTTAGTCTCTTCACGGCCACGTCTCGAATGTGGCTTCTTCGGAACAGGATTTTACCTGGGAAGGAAGAAGATGCAGAGGTTGAGTATGGAAATAGGGCTTTTATAGATGAAGCATCTATCCTGTGCTCATTCTTTTCTAATCACAATTATTTACAGGTTCTTTAAATGATCCTTTGACCCTCCAGTTTCACCTCTATGTCTCTCAAGCACTTTCCACAAGCTTTCTTCGACAGAGAAAATGCAGCAGATGTGAAAGAAACTTTTTTCACTTGTGTGTTGCTGCTATTTCACTATACCACAGTGCCACCTAGAGGCTATATAGCAGAAAATCTAGAAAGGAAATGTTCCTTGTACAACTCAGTTCTATGATGAAACCGAAGGTAGATACAGTGGATTAACAGTCTCAAGTAGTAAAACTTATACACTGGAAAGTACTTGCATCCTAAATCATGCTAATTCTAGACTAAGTACATGTTCTTAACTTCTTCCCATAGACTACATAGTTTCCATCGATACAGTTTTCCAATGGTATACTGTGAAAATCTATGAAGCAGATACCGCCAGTAGATTTTGAACATACTGAATTAATGTGATTATATTATTGCAGGCATTGGCACCTGGACAGAGATGTAAGATGCCAGGCATCATAAACAGGGAAAATGGCACCAGGGCTCAAATATTTTACTCCCTCCACCATCCTGCTTAGAAACAGATGTGACAGATAGCTATAAAGTGATACAACTATAACTTCTACCTCAGTAGGAGTCTGTTGACAAAACAAACTGGTAGGGATCCATCTGGCTCTGTAAGCTGCTGATTTAGGCCAGGCCCTTTAGCTTGAGCATCTTAGCCCGAAAAACATACTAGAGCTGGTTTTCCACTGGCATGGATGGCTATGAAATCACCTCTTGGCCTCGAGGCAAAAGACTACACAAAAGGGCATGAGCTGCAGTGGCCCAAGGCCCATCAAGAGTCTTGGACCAAAATGTGATCAGCCACTTAAACCTAAGAAATGAGCTATCATGCTGAATGGCAGAGAGCATATTCATCAGCATAGACGCTGTTGATTATTTTTAGTAATTCCTTCCCATTTTTTCTTCCAAGTGCCAACTTTTATTCCTACAGAGGAAAAACAAGTAGATACCAATGGAAATCAATATCAGTTCAGATGGTCAGCGCAATTATTCAGTTCTTTTGCCTTGCTTCTGTAAGAAGTTTGATGCTCTAATTTCCCTTGCTTTTTCTAATACATTACTCAATACATTACTCATTGGCACTGGTTTTGTAATTAATTTTTGTTGGTGTTAATTCAAAAATTCACTATGCTGAAACTAAACAAGAGTATCGTGTTTTTATTTATTTGAATTTTGACCCACATCCTGTCAATTGTAACACTGTTCTCCTTTCTTCCTAAGAAGCCGCATTTGGAAATGGTGAATTAAAAGAATCCCTCCAAATGTCAGGGAAAGGCCCCTTAAGTTTGCTACAAACTTCTGCAGTTTTCTAGGCTAGTTCTGAAACTGACAAGAAAAATCAAAGAGCATCAAGCAGAGATGGTTTTTGTGATAACGACTAGACAACTCCAGGTGGGATGTTTCCTAGCAAGTCTGAATAATTATCCAGAAAAGGTCAGGATTTACAGCCCCATTGAAACCATATCCACTCTGCAATCCACTCACTCATGCTGTAGGCATTCTCTTTATTATTGTTAATTCTAATCACAATCACCATCATAATATGCATATGCATTCAACATTTTATTCCTGTATTACATTTCTATACTACCCATAGCAAAAGATCTCTGGGTATCTTACATAAATCAAAACCTTTAAAGCACTTGCTTTGAAATATCAGGAGAAAAACTATGTGGTACGATGACAAGAAATCTAGAAGGGGCATGGGGCCACCTGTGGGACCCTTGCTCTCCTGGCCCCTTTAAGGGCCTTTAGCCTTCTCTATAGGCAGTGATGAGGAAAGAAGACAGAAATAAAAGCCTAATAAGAAGCAAACTGGAAACTAGATAGAAAAAAGAAACTTTTCCCTAGATATTCAGTAGGTTGTTGGGAACCCTGCCACCTTTAAGCCCTGCTGCCTCTGAAACCAGGCTACCCAGCTGCAAGTGAGTTTGGGTTATGGAATGGCAAAGGTTCCCCAGAGCAATGGCTCTGGCACCTAGCTCCATTGGGAGGGGTAATATCCCAAAGGATACTGGTTGCCCTGCTGTCAGTCCTCAAAGGATTTCAGGGTCGGGTTTGCTTCATACCCTCATTTCTGGCAAAACCAGTGTGGCATGGTCTGCATGCCTTGGTTTTGCCAAAGATCAGGCACCAGACATCTGCAAGGGCAGAAATCCTTCCTTGAAGCTGCTGCCGTGTTACTAGTGAGGAAGAATAAAACAGCATCACTACTGTGTGGGCAGGCTTGCTCAGAAGCATCATAAAATCTGCTGTGAAGAGTGAGGATTTTGCACAGTTCCCATTCGTTGATTTCCCTGTTTCCAATCCAAGCCACAAACAGAAAGCCAGACTAGTGGTGACCCTATTTTAGAGAAACTATAAAGCAAGCAAAGACATGGAACACATCAAAGGTCTCCTGAAATTCTAATTCAGCTTCCCTAAATAGATAGTTTATAAGGAGACCTCGTTGCTGCCAGCAGCTTCAAAGTGCCACAGTAAGCACAAGACAAGCATGAGAAACAAGAAGGTAAGTATAATGTTATGTGTGGAACAAAGTGTAAGAGGAATTTTAAAAATAATTAAAGGATTGTGAGTTCCCAAGATGTCTTATTTTAATTAACTCATTGAAAGTGCACTTTTATGCAAGTTTGGACAGAAAGAAAGGGTGGCTGGGGCATGCTGGGAGTTGTAGGACTTTCTTCTGTCTAGACTTGCATAGGACTGTGCCCTAAGTAGATTTTAAAATTATACATGTGGTGATGATATTATGAAATAAGTCTGGAAAAAGAACCAAGGAGGTAGTTACCCAAATGAGCTGCTTTGGCAGCTTATTCAAAATAGCTATGAAATTGGTCCAAATCTGTCACATGACCATATAGCCTGATAATAGTAATATTTACTTGCGAGCAAATCCCACTGATTTTCCTGGTTTCTAAGTACACTGGGAATCTCAGCCTAAGTGAAGCACACCTGAATCCGCACATTAACTTCTCTTTGTATCTTTATTCAAACATACTCCATTTGAAAGGCAATTTTATGAGTGACATTTTGACATCCAAGTGGCACTTTCCCAGTAGCATTGCTATTAATACTTTCAGCTAACACCTAGGCATGGACTGGGAAGTGTGTACCGCATAAAGGATAATGCAGTGCATGCTCAGAAGGTTTGCCGTGGGCAGGCAAGGCAGGGTTGGAGGGGCGGGGCCAAAACTGATGATTTAGTGAGGAGAACTTACAAAGGCAACAACAAGATCTTGGAGACAAATCTTAAGATGACAGTAGAGGTGGGCACTTTATGGCTCCAAATCCCATGATCCCTTCCAAATCCCATAATCAACTGGCTATGCTGATGGGAGTTGACAGGCCAGAATTGTCCACTTATGGGCTACAGAGAAGGCAGTGTGGGTGCCTTGGCGAGGCTTCAGTCTCCAACTGGTGTGACATCATATCCAATTTGTCCAGAGCTCAGGAAATTTCTCTCATTGCAGAGAAAACTATTCCACCAAACAGCTTATCCCCTTGACAAGCTCTACCACATGGGGAAATTTAAACTTGTCTTTGTGTGGTCATCAGAACTTGGAGAGAAACCCTTAAAGGAGGAGGGGAAGTGGAAACATGGAAGGAGATGCTCAGGGTGAAAGAAAGAGAAGGACCCTGAAGGAGAATCAGTGCGAAGTTAGAAAAGTGGGGTAGGGGGAGAGGCAGGGACAGCCATTCTACAGATGCCACAGGGAAGCAGGATGAATGAACAGCTATGCCAAGACTTTGCCTTTTTCTCTCATTATCCCCTCCTTCCCCTTACACAGGCACACTCATCCAGACACTAGCAGAGCCTCTCCATTTTTGCAGCTGTTTGAAATGCACCTAATTGGAATGATTTATTCTAATCACAGAATCTGCTTAGTGCTTTTAGCAGATCGAAGCTGGCCTCTTGTGTACAATCACTTCAGTCACAGGGAAACTCAAGCTACTGTTTAAAGATTTCTTGAAGGCCCAGGAGATTGAATATCCCAATTTCTTGCCAAGAGATTTATGATAATCTGTACTGGCCCATCTTCAGGAAGGGAGTTTATCTGGCACAACTCAAATCCTCTTGCTGCTTCAATGCATCTTTAAGCCTTCATTAGATCCATGTGATTTGCTCTGGTATTAAAAAGCAAAGATGTTGTTCCCAATATCAGTGCAGCATGTTTGGAGAGCTGGATAAATGAGAAAAAGCCAAAACCTAAAGGTGGAGTATTTGCCCTGCCACACATACTATTCTCTTAAGGAAAACTCTTTCTTCTCTTATCTGCAACACATGCACACAACTGGTACAGAGGAACAAACTTCCTTTATGCTTCTCACCATGAAATTCCTCCCAGCACTGAGCAGGAACCTGAATACTCAAGGCTCTGTTATAGAAAATAAAATTAGAAAATGGCCATTAATAGTAGGCTGTGTGAAGGAAGTCACTTGGCGGGGAGGGTGCTTTTTTAGCAAAATGGCCAGTCCTTCTAAATGGACATTCCATCCAATGGCCAATGAGATGCACAAATATGTCAACTAAATTTACACACACATCAATTGTCTCTTTGCAGTTTAACAGGAGAAATTAGATGACACCACTGAATCCACCACTCCTTCACACCTCCTGTGATGCCTTCTCCATCTGAACCATCTTCTTTCCTACAAAATAGAATATTCATTGGCAAAAATAGTGCCAATCAGTGGTCCTAAAGCCAATTCCTAATACTTTCAGATACGGCTAGAATAGTCTGTTGTCATGGAACCTTTCTTCATGAGACAATAACTGTGCACTTCCGATTCCTCATTTGTGGTAGCTGGAGGTGCCTGTTAGGAGCTCAGTTTCCCCCTTCTCTCTTTCCAACAGTTCTTT